ACGCTTGACCTGTGGTGAGGTAAATTTGTCTTTGCCTGACACTTAGTTATCCATCTCTCATGCTCCAATGTCAGCATGTACTTGTCTACAGACTGCGTCATCTACTACTATGATATAAGGATTTGTGCAAGCTGGGCAGGAATGATACAGGTATTGAGGTGGACTCATGGGAACAAAATGCCATGGAGCATGTTGTCTGAAGGGGGCACACCAGGAAAGGATTGAGAATGTAGGAAGAAATAATTGCAGACAGGATGAGAGCTGAGCATTTGAGAAGAGACAGAGTAAACACAAATGTTGACAACTACAGTCCTGAAATCTCATGCTTTTTTGTGTGGAAGGCGTTTCTTAACAAGGGTGGGCCTTGCTAGTCACACTCGCCATCACCATGGGCTGTGAGTCCCAAGCCTCCTCATAGCGCAATATAACACCATCGTATGAAAAGACGGAAGGGTGCCAGTCCGTCAGACAATCAATCAGTCAGTCAGTCAGATTCATCTGTCCACTGCTGTGTCCACCCAGGGGAATGTTGTTTTGCTTTTCTACAAGTTTTGCCAGGGCAGTTACCCTGTGGCCTGCTATTTACAATTTCTAACTTCCAGAAGATTTGTTCACAGATGCTGCTTGCACACAGGATTGCTTGCTTTTTACCCTTGTCTGAGGTGTCTATGAGGTGTCTAGGTATCCAGTCTGACTTCCTGAGAAATCAGAGGAAATGTGTGATATCATTAGATGTTCATGTTTCTTGAAGACTCTTCAGCTCTGAAACTTGCTAGCCAGAGTTGATCACCTTGAGTCATCAGGAGAAACCGTGATATCATTAGATATTCATGTTTCTTATAAGGAATATCCAACCCTGTAAGCATGGAGTTGGTGTTTGTTGACATTGAAATACCAAAACAGCTTTGGAAACAACTCGCTCTACAATGACAAGGAGATGAAAAAGTTTCTAGAGAACGAGCTCGATTGTGCTGTAGTCCCAGAAGGTCAGAGGTGTATCCTCTTGGTTGTAAAATATGATTGGTAGGCTTAGAATGCAGACCTAAATTTGAAGTCTCATAGAAAAATGTTTGCGGTGTGGGTAATATCAGCTTGATTTGGTTGTCCACAGGTCTCCGTCTCCCTTGGACACTTGCAGCAAAGAGAACAACTCACTGTCAGGTGGTGGGGGAGCCACTACAGGTCCCTTGCTGCCCTACACAATCTACTTCAACAAGATTGCCTCCACCTTCACACGCACCCGCCCATGGGGCTTTGAGATCATCCCAGAACAAGACCACATCAAGTTTAACGAGAAGCAGCTGGACTGGATGCTGCAGTTGGTGAGTCAGAGACTACAGGATGATCTGACTTGTCAGGCAATGTTCAGTTACTTACAGGATGATCTGACTTGTCAGGCAATGTTCAGTTACTTACAGGATGATCTGACTTGTCAGGCAATGTTCAGTTACTTACAGGATGATCTGACTTGTCAGGCAATGTTCAGTTACTTACAGGATGATCTGACTTGTCAGGCAATGTTCAGTTACTTACAGGATGATCTGACTTGTCAGGCAATGCTCAGTTACTTACAGGATGATCTGACTTGTCAGGCAATGTTCAGTTACTTACAGGATGATCTGACTTGTCAGGCAATGTTCAGTTACTTACAGGATGATCTGATTTGTCAGGCAATGCTCAGTTACTTACAGAATGATCTGACTTGTCAGGCAATGTTCAGTTACTTACCTAAAATTTGCAGAACATCCGGAGCTTCTCTTGGCAGCTGTGAACCATTCTCATGGTTCAGACATGTGGTGAGACATGATTCAGTTGCAAAGACTGTAGTTCAAGGAATCCTGGGGGAAGGGGGGGGGGGGGGGAAGAAGAGGGGCGAAGAAGAGGAGGGCAAAGAAGAACCTGGAATGGTACCGACAAGAAATGAACATGACTAAGTTATCATACATTTTTTCATCAAGCAGAAGACAGAGAAAGATGGTGGGTTTTGTATGCTAGTGCTTCCAATCATACACCTCCATAACCCTAATGGGTCACACCTCTCCCAACGTACCACTCACCTTGTTTCAGGAAACCTCTTCAGGGATGTTGAACGATATGGATATAGCATCCCACATAGTGTCTTCTCATAAGTTGAACTGGGTCCCTTTCAGCTGCAAGGACTACCAACCAGTCACAGGGAGCCATGTTGGGAAAGGATGGAGCTGGAATAGTCACAAGAATATAGTCTTTGAAGAAGAAATTTTAATTAGTTGTGAAGAAGGGGCATATTTATAGAGAAACTTTGCTTTCATGCAGAACCAGGAGTCAGCTGGAAATACTGACAAGAGATGATGATCATAGTGCATTCATGTGGGTCTTACCCACTCCTGATACCTGTGGGTCTTACCCACTCCTGATACCTGTGGGTCTTACCCACTCCCGATACCTGTGGGTCTTACCCACTCCTGATACCTGTGGGTCTTACCCACTCCTGATACCATCCACCCCGGGTGAAGCACAGGCCTTCAACCCCTCACCACAAAGTCATCCTGTCCTTTGTCTCCATGTACAACTCACCACATGTCTTTCCTGGCTTTTTCATTTCAGTTTCTATTTCCCTTCTCCATGTGTTTTTGGATCTGCCCTTCTTCCTTTATGTCTGTGTGTTCCAATGCAAGGAGATGCTAGTTATATTGGTATCCAGTTTTCTCAGCATGTGTCCTGTCCATTGCCACCATCTTTTACTCACCTGTTGATTCACAGGAATTTGTTTAGTTCTGTCTTAAACCTCACCAATAATGGTTCCATCATACCACCTATTTGCCTCTATTCTATGTAGGCACCATTAGTGTATGTTTGTAGTTTGCTTGTTTTAGTTTTTCTCCATGTTCAAACTGGAGCTATTTAGCCATTCCCTTGTGGGTTCCTGGCGCCCATTTTGGGTGAAACAAAAATAGATAACACCGGAAGAAGTATGTTATGAAAAGGGGACCAGTTAGGAATATTTCCTTTCAAGTGGGAGTACATCTGCCATAGGAGCGAGGAACCAAGGGTATACATTCAGGTCAGCCAGAAAAACGGATGTATACTCCTGATACCTGTGGACTGAGGAACCAACGGTATACATTCAGGTCAGCCAGTAAAACGAATGTGTACTCCTGATACCTGTGGAGCGAGGAATCAACGGTATACATTCAGGTCAGCCAGTAAAACGAATGTGTACTCCTGATACCTGTGGAGCGAGGAATCAACGGTATACATTCAGGTCAGCCAGTAAAACGAATGTGTACTCCTGATACCTGTGGAGCGAGGAATCAAGGGTATACATTCAGGTCAGCCAGTAAAACGAATGTGTACTCCTGATACCTTTGGAGCGAGGAATCAACGGTATACATTCAGGTCAGCCAGTAAAACGAATGTGAACTCCTGATACCTGTGGAGCGAGGAATCAACGGTATACATTCAGGTCAGCCAGAAAAACAAATGTGTACTCCTGATACCTGTGGAGCGAGGAACCAAGGCTATACATTCAGGTCAGCCAGAAAAACGAATGTGTACTCCTGATACCTGTGGAGCGAGGAATCAACGGTATACATTCAGGTCAGCCAGAAAAACAAATGTGTACTCCTGATACCTGTGGAGCGAGGAACCAAGGCTATACATTCAGGTCAGCCAGAAAAACGAATGTGTACTCCTGATACCTGTGGAGCGAGGAATCAACGGTATACATTCAGGTCAGCCAGAAAAACGAATGTGTACTCCTGATACCTGTGGAGCGAGGAATCAACGGTATACATTCAGGTCAGCCAGAAAAACGAATGTGTACTCCTGATACCTGTGGAGCGAGGAATCAACGGTATACATTCAGGTCAGCCAGTAAAACGAATGTGTACTCCTGATACCTGTGGAGCGAGGAATCAACGGTATACATTCAGGTCAGCCAGTAAAACGAATGTGTACTCCTGATACCTGTGGAGCGAGGAATCAACGGTATACATTCAGGTCAGCCAGTAGAACGAATGTGTACTCCTGATACCTGTGGAGTGAGGAATCAACGGTATACATTCAGGTCAGCCAGTAGAACGAATGTGTACTCCTGATACCTGTGGAGCGAGGAATCAACGGTATACATTCAGGTCAGCCAGAAAAACAAATGTATACGCAAAACTCAAGTTCTGGAACAAGACTTCAGTCCATGCAATGACTCTGTTGTTTATCTTCCTGGCTCCAGTCACTGCAGACTCCCATTTCACACATCGACATCAACACGACGAGTAGAAATGGGTGACAGCAAACAACGCAAGATGATTTTATTCTTTATTCTTCCACTCGTTGTTCTCTCAGCCGATACATGAAATAAGTCAGGTCTAAGGCTGTGCACACAATGATGAAAAAAGTCAACATTACCTGCACTCATCGAAACACAACCGCGTATTCCAAAAATCACACTTTAGCACACAATTCAACCGGCAGACAAAGTTTCCCATCCATCGTTGGCCAGGTAGGGCGTTTGAAGCGACATTGATACTCAGACACATTCTGGATCTACAAACACTCCTCCGTTGTTCATGCACTCCATTTCTTGGCCCAAACCAGACTGCCCACATGCTCTTTCTAAGGCATTATATAACCTTCTAACGCCCACATTACAATTACGACTTTTTCGTGTTTTCCGATTCACATGGGTTTCATTTGGCCAACAATTTCTCCTTGATTCACATGAGTTTCATTTGGCCAGCATTTTCACGTCGCTGCCCTTGTTACACTCAAATTTTCCATTCATATTTATTAGCTGGGACATAATTCATCGAGGAAAAAATTGTTCACTACAGTCCAGAAGTGAACAAAAAACCCAAAATTTTTGGCCAGGTTTTAAAGCCGGTGAATGTTATCTCAAAAAAAAAAAAAGAAAAACCATTTAGTAATTCCTGTTAACACTGGATATGACAGTTGTTTCAAATCTTGCAGTGTGTAAGAGAATACTTGAAGTTGATACTACAAACATCTTTTTTGTCCTACAGGCTAAAAGAATTCTGAAACGGAAAATTCTCAGCGGACTTGATCACATTCTGAAGGAAGTCTTAGTTTCTGCGGTAAGGTCTACTTGAGTGGTTTCATGTTTAGCTTCATTGTGGTGTTGACGTCGTCATCTGCCACGGAGTTACTCTAGGTGTGTGATGTCTCACTGGTCTTGGTTCTGTGTGTGATGTCTCATTGGTCTTGGTTCTGTGTGTGATGTCTCACTGGTCTTGATTGTGTCTGTGATGTCTCACTGGTCTTGATTGTGTGTGTGATGTCTCACTGGTCTTGATTGTGTGTGTGATGTCTCACTGGTCTTGATTGTGTGTGTGATGTCTCACTGGTCATGGTTCTGTGTGGTATGTCTCACTGGTCTTGGCTCTGTGTGTGATGTCTCACTGGTCTTGGTTCTGTGTGTGATGTCTCACTGGTCTTGGTTCTGTGTGTGATGTCTCACTGGTCATGGTTCTGTGTGTGATGTCTCACTGGTCTTGGCTCTGTGTGTGATGTCTCACTGGTCTTGGTTGTGTGTGTGTGATGTCTCACTGGTCTTGATTGTGTGTGTGTCTCACTGGTCTTGGTTGTGTGTTTGTGTGATGTCTCACTGGTCTTGATTGTGTGTGTGATGTCTCACTGGTATTGGTTGAGTGTGTGATGTCTCACTGGTCTTGATTGTGTGTGTGATGTCTCACTGGTCTTGGTTGTGTGTGTGTGATGTCTCACTGGTCTTGATTGTGTGTGTGATGTCTCATTGGTCTTGGTTGTGCATGTGTGAGGTCTCACTGGTCTTGATTGTGTGTGTGGTGTCTCACTGGTCTTGGTTGAGTGTGTGATGTCTCACTGGTCTTGGTTGTGTGTATGATGTCTCATTGGTCTTGGTTGTGTGTGTCTGATGTCTCACTGGTCTTGATTGTGTGTGTGATGTCTCACTGGTCTTGGCTCTGTGTGTGATGTCTCACTGGTCTTGGCTCTGTGTTTGATGTCTTACTGGTCTTGGCTCTGTGTGTGATGTCTCACTGGTCTTGGTTGTGTGTATGATGTCTCACTGGTCTTGGTTGTGTGAAGTAAGACAGTGTGTGGTAATGTATCCCCATTATAAATGAACAGTGTGTGGTCACTTATCTGCTTGTAAGCATTAAAAAACAAATCATTTCTTCTGCATCCGAACACTGTTATCACCTGTTCCCAGCATGACAGTGAGGTCACTACCTCCTTATGAGAACATTGTGCAGCCACATATCCCCACTAAGACAGTGTACAAACTCATCATTATCAGGTGTCTTGTTGACTGGTGTGGGCGAACATGCCTCTCAGAATATGCGATCTTGAACAGCATATATCAGTTGGTGTGTCAATTGGTGCCCCATGGTAGGGAAGACAAGAATAGACCCACTTCCTCCCGAACAAGCATGTGGTAACAATCGACCGGTTGGGGGCTTCCTTTAGAGTCGGAGTGCATCTGCCTGAGAGGCAAGGTACCAACAGTCTACATACACATAAGTCAGATCTGTAAAACAGATGTGCAGGCAACACTCAGGTTCTGGAACAAGTCAAAGTCCAGAGATGGATGAACAACCAGAACTATCTGCCCGAGTTTACAGCCGGTGAACATCAAGAGAAAAAGAATTGGTGTATGATGCCCATCTATGCTGTAACAAAAGACTATCAAGAAACTTCTCCCATTGTGTTTCTCTGTCCAGTGGTCACATCATATTCGTTTCATCCTTCCTAGAACATGACCAAACAAATGATGACAATCTCTTTCTGATATCTGTGGTCACCTGTTTCCAAACATCAAGATGACTCTTGTTTGGCTTTCATGGAATTCTAAGGATTCTTCTGTAAAATCACATCTCAGAAGCCTCCAGAAATTGTTTTGCTTGTTTTTAATAATTGTCCAGGATTCACAGCCATTTATGGACTCTGTTCAAGAAAGATAATCAAGATAAAGGCCTTATTTTGTTCAGTAAATGTAGGTTATTTCAGCGAGCCAAGGAATAAACAATGGGCTGAAATGAGCACAAAGCTGTAGGCTGGCCATTTCTTGCTTGTGGGACAAACATGCTTTCACCTGCCAGTTAGACACCCAAATGTCTCCCAGTGAAACAGCAAATGATCAATAGCATCTGCATCCCTACTTTATGTTGTCAGTGCCAAGCATGGACAGTGAACAGAGCACTAGAACAGAAAATAATAACATGGGAAATTTGCTGTCTCCGCAAGGTTGCTAAGAACAAATGAAGGACAGGGTTATGAATACCAGCATTTGACAGACAGTTGGAAAGTTGTCTGGCTATATTGACAGACAAAGATAATGCCAGCTAATGAGGAATGCAGCCAGGTCAGACTGTGTTTAAGACTTTTTACAACAGAACATCTGTGAGGAAGGCGAGAGGAAGACCAAGCAAGAGACAGAAAAATGGTGTAGCCAAAACCTGCAAAAAGATGAAGAAATCCATCACCGAAGCCACCCGAGAAGTGCAAGACAAATACAGAAAACCACGACACCAGGCTACAACCTGGTATTAGTGAGATGACAAGAAGAGGAAACAGAAGAAAACATGCACAGAAAGTTGTGTGTCACTGAAACAAGGCTGTCATCACTGTTATTATTATTGTAGTTTTCAGAGCCATTAATTGTGCAGAGTTCATTTTCAGAATGGAAACCTGTTTCGCTTCCCATACAAGTCATTGAGTGAAACAATCAGTGTTGTTATGTTGGCGTTACTTCGAGATGTCTTGGAGCAGGAGAAGGGTGAGCTGCCAGCTCTGTGGTTGTCTGTATTTGCATGCAGTTGTATGTGTTTCCCTGTGGTTGTCTTCATTTTCTCATGGTTATCATTGTTTCCCATTTATTGTCAGTATTTCTCAGTGGTTGTCATTGTTTCCCAAGAGGTTGTCATCGTTTCCCTGTTGTTGTTGTTTCCCAGTGGTTGTCATTTTTTCCCAGTGGTTGTCATTGTTTCCCAGTGGTTGTCATTGTTTACTAGTGGTTGTCATTGTTTCCCAGTGGTCATTGTTTCCCAGTGGTTGTCATTGTTTACTAGTGGTTGTCATTGTTTCCTAATAGTTGTCATTGTTTCCTAATGGTTGTCATTGTTTCCTAGTGGTTATCATTGTTTCCTAGTGGTTGTCTTTATTTCCCAGTGGTTGTCATTGTTTCCTAATAGTTGTCATTGTTTCCCAGTGGTTGTCATTGTTTCCTAATGGTTGTCATTGTTTCCTAGTGGTTGTCATTGTTTCCCAGTGATTGTTATTGTTTACTAGTGGTTGTCATTGTTTCCCAATAGTTGTCATTGTTTCCCAGTGATTGTCATTGTTTCCTAGTGATTGTCATTGTTTCTTAGTGGTTGTCATTGTTTCCCAGTGATTGTCATTGTTTCCTAATGGTTGTCATTGTTTCCTAGTGGTTGTCCTTGTTTCCTAGTGGTTTCCATTGTTTCCCAATGGTTGTCATTGTTTTCTAGTGGTTGTGTTTGTTTCCTAGTGGTTGTAATTGTTTCCCAATGGTTGTCATTGTTTCCTGGTGGTTGTCATTGTTTCCCAATGGTTGTTTGTGTTCTCCTGTCTCATCATGTACAGATAGAAAATGTTTTGCCTTCCTTTAAGTTGGATAATCCCAGTTTTTTTTGTGTCCCCCTTTTTCCCCTGCAACATTTCTCACTAATCTCGTGTCCATAGTTCACTTCCTTGTATCAGTCTCCAAGACATCATCTACCCACAATTCCAAGTCAACATCTCTCTTTGATAGAAGTCATGCTATGAAAGTATTGACTGTGCACACAATGGTTATAATTCAACTAGTGTTTAACATTCCTGCATTGCAGACTTGTCGGCCGAGTTCATGAAGGAAGTGCAGGAGTTTGCCAAGCAGCTGTTCCTGGCAGGACAGAGTGACCTGGAGAGGAATCCCTCCCACCACAGCCTCCAGGATCGGCTGACAGACTTCAACCCCTACCAGTTGCTGGTCCATGCCAATGGTGCCTGTGTGGACCTTCTCTTCTGGGCCATCAGAGAGGAATCAGGTTGGCTGATGTCTCAAAGCAGTTATTTGTTACATTCCTTATCTTCTTCACCATCACCGGCTGTAAACTCCGGCGCAACGTTATGGTTATTTCTCCACCTGAGGTTCCAGAACCTGAGTGCTGCGTGCACATCTGTTTTAACAGAACTGTTCTATCTTTATGCTGGTTCAAATGCACTCTGGCTTCAAAGGAAGATTCCAATTAGTTGACTCTTACGACATACTTTGGGAAAGGCAGTGGATCTGTTCTTGTTTTCCCCAAAATGGGGCTCCAGAACCCACACAAAGTTGTATTCCTTATGAAAATAATTATGTCCGAGTTTAAGGTCTCAGTGTTTTGAAGAAATTAGGCTGTTGCTTTCTGCAGGTGACAAGTTCAGATCCTTGCGGGGTCACTGTAGCTTTCAGTGTTTAGATTGTCTAGTACAGTGTTCTTCAATAGATGGGCCGAGAAACAGTTCCCCTATGTTGGTGGGCCGCGAAACAGTTCCCCTATGTTGGTGGGCCAAGGGTATAAAGAGGTCGAGAAGCACAGACTAGTGTGCCTTTGACTTTTGTGTGTAGGACTTGCGGCGGTATAATGGCCAGCATATAATGGCCAGCATATAATGACCGGCATTCATGCCAGGTTGTCAGATGGTCACAGACTTTTTTGTCTTGTGTTAGCTGGTTGTAATCCCTGGGGGAAAGTTCTGCTTGTTCATCCACTTCTTTTTTCCAGAACTTGAATTTTGTATGCACATCTGTTTTACACATTGGGCTTATTTGCCTGCAAACTGCTGGTTCTTCAACTCTCCATGTTGGTTTTTCACGTCTATAAATTCAAAGGAAAAATACCAAGTTTGTCGACTATTATAAACAGGCTTTTTCTGCGCTGGAATCGACAAGGGTTCATGACGTAAAATCTTCTTTGAGGCAGATTTTTTAACTTGATGAGAACTCCCAGGGTGACCCAGCCTAAACAATAGATAAAAGGAGATGTGCTGGAAGATGATGGCTGCCGGCAATATATTGCTGACATTATCCATGGAGTGTCAGTTGATTTGTAGAAGTAACAGACGAGCACCATATGCTTAACACACATACAAGACCCAAAACACCCCACAGCACGCTCCACCCTCCCCCCAACGCACCTAGAACACACACCACTGCACACCTGCAACACACCCCACATCACACTAAGAAGACAACACACCCCACATCACATCCCCTTTTATTGTGTAGATTCCTCAAGTATTCCAGTGTTCTCCCTTAGATCACGCATGAAGAATCTCATCACAGGGCACAGACTCTATAGCACCGGCCAGGATCTAGATTTGTTTAAAAAAAGAAATGACATATTCTGTAAATATGTCAAAGGTCAATACAGAAGAAGAAGAAGAAGTAAAAGAAACTTGCAAGCCAGTTGGGAGAGCAATTTTATAGCTGCCGTGGGTGACCAAACAATAAGATGTTAGTTTTAGCAACATGTGGATATTATCACTGATTGGTGTTTCTGGTTGGCTACAGAAGCTGAGAATCTGTGTGTGAAACTGACGGAGAAGATCAGCACAAACACAGAGAGGAAGTTGCTGCTGTCTCACACTCCACTCTTGTCGGCATCTCTGGAGGTAAGCTGGCTGTTTGTTAGACCAGGTGTGCGAGGCTTAGGGCCATTAGGATATTCATAACATCATTAGTTGGCCATATAAAGCTACCAGCTTAAAAATGAGCTTGCTGTATTTTGGTCAAGTATTGAATGAAGTTGTAGGGCCGGACCAGATGGTCATGCAGTCTGGATGTGTGCCTACCCCTTGTGTTTGATGTTGGCAGCTGTTGGTAAGTCAAGGACCCTTTTCCATGTCTTCAGGCATATTGGGCTTGACCTGTTTTTAAATTTTTTTATAGGCCAGTTGGTACATATCATGAAAATCACCCCATATCATGGGGCGCAAGATTTCAAGCTGGGTTCCATTCATGCTGTGGTAGTACTAACAGGCTGTCCTATGTTGTAGGGATGTTACAATGTGTTCCTTCACCTTGGCTGTCTATACACACCTTTCGGGGAAACTAGCTGCTGTTGGTTTGAGAACCAACTCGAAAATGTGGAGCTTGCTTTCGTGGCAGAGACATTGAGAGACTGTGTGTGTGTGTGCGTGCTTGCGTGTGGGTACATACATACTCAAATGAGTGTTCAGCTAGTTTACTTTTCTCTGTCAACTAGGTCTCTCGTGCAGCCATCACTGGTTTGAGAATTGGTGATATTTTGGGGCGGGCCCTGGGTCAAGTCACCTAGTAAGGCCGCGGTGATAGCGATGAAGAGCGAACGCACAACGCAAGTAACACTTACAGTGCTGGCTGCTCACAGCGTGGAATATAGAAATTTACCTCGGTTCCCGGGTCTGCCCAGCCTTAAACGAATAACAGGTAAAGTCCTAGGGAGTAAAGGCGGCTGAATGATCATGGTGGAGTCATACACACATTGATGGGAAACCACCATTATATTTCTTTCTTCTGGACTGTTCTCATAAGATGACTAACATTTTTGTTTGTCGGCTTTCAGGCTCTTGGCAAGATGGCGGTGAAGTTTCCTGCTCTGGGAAGTGCCATGGTAGCCTCACTGCGGGACTTCCTGGTCAGCCCGTCACCAATCCTCAGCAAACTCAACAAGTATGCCTTGTCAGAAGGAGGCAGGTCAGGCTACTCCGGCAGTGGAGGAGGTATCCGTATCCTTGTGACGGACGAGGACAAAAAGGAAGGAAGCAGAGGAAGCAAGTTGCCCAAAAACCGACTTCTGGCAACAATGGAGAATTTACGAGATAATGCAATTCATAATATTTGCAGGTTTGTTTTGGGGTTTCTTCTGGTTATTTTGTACATGTTCAGCCTTCTTCTTCTTCTTCATCTTCTTCTTTTTCGTCTTCTTCTTCTTCTTCTTCTTCTTCTTCTTCTTCTTCTTCTTCTTCTTCTTCTTCTTCTTCTTCTTCTTCTTCTTCTTCTTCTTCTTCCTCTTCTTCTTCTTCTTCTTCTTCTTTTTCTTCTTTTTCTTCTTCTTCTTCTTTTTCTTCTTCTTCTTCTTCTTCTTCTTTTTCTTCTTCTTTTTCTTTTTCTTCTTCTTCTTTTTCTTCTTCTTCTTCTTGTCTGCTTCTTCTTCTTCTTCTTTTTCTTCTTCTTCTTCTTCTTCTTCTTCTTCTTTTTCTTTTCCTTTTTCTTCTTCTTCACGTTCACCGGCTGTAAACTCCAATGGAAAGTTCTGCTTGTTTGTCCACTTTTGAACTTTACTCTTGTTCCAGAACCTGAGTGTTGCATGCACATCTGTTTTAAAAATCTGATTTGTATGCAGATTGTTGATTCCTTGCCTTTCAGGCAGATGCTCTTCAACTTCAGAGGAAGACCCCAGTCATTTTCCCACAATGAGGCCCCTGAACCCTCATGGGGGAATGTTCTGTCCCATTCGTGAGGTTACAGCAGATGCCACCTGAGTGGAATGGCTGTCATGTCTGAAAGAGAAGCCATCCAGGGTTGTAACACCTGAAACACAAGCCATGTGTGTGTGTGACACAATGGCGGTCATGCTTGATTGCTGACTCATGTGTTGTATGGTCTAAACCCCTGTAAGTTTGTGTGATTGACCTTTGAGTGACCCAGGATCCTACATTGACTCATTTTAAAATGAAGGTGAGAAAATGTCTAGGGCAGTAAAGGCAGGCAGTGGGATACTGTCCAGCCCGCCTGACTAGGACCAGGTGCTCTAACAATATGGGACTAATGTGTCAGAGAGTAAAATCCCCTTTAGATGCCAGTGGCACAGCAGGCATATGATTATATTTTTAAAGACCAATTGACACTCGATGAAATGTGGCCAGCATCATGCCAGCCGCCTTTACTTCCCAGGACTTTACCTGGTACCCAGTTAAGGCTTATTTGACCTGGAACCAAGGTCCTGTTTGAAAAAAAAATCTGTGGATTGGAACCCACAGCCTTTGGGTCCCCAGGTGAGCTTCCAGCAGCTAACCATGATCGATCCTATGGGGATAGAATCGTTTATGTAAATCATGATCGGGGTCTCTTGACTTAGATAACCTATCGTGTGGCCTGATGAGGTTACAGTGTGCATCTCAAACTTGGAGTTACTGGGTTTGATCCCCAACGAAGGATGGGCATTTCTACAAACCCATCAGGTTGCATTGACAGCAGTTCAATCTGACAGCAAGGGCTTCATCTTAGTAACCCCCCTCTCTCTCTCTCTATCTCTCTCTGTCTCTCTGTCTCTCTGTCTCTCTCTCTCTCTCTCTCTCTCTCTCTCTCTCTCTCTCTCTGTCTTTCTCTCTCTCTGTCTTTCTCTCTCTCTCTCTCTCTCTCTCTCTCTCTCTCTCTCTCTGTCTCTCTCTCTCTCTCTCTCTCTCTCTCTCTCTCTCCATCTATCCATCTCTCTCTCTCTCTCTCTTTCTTTCTCGCTCTCTCTCTACTCTCTCCCTGTCTTTCTTTCTCTCTCTCTGCTCTCTCTATCTTTCTCTCTCTCTCTCCATCTATCCATCTCTATCTTTCTCTCTCTCTCTCTCTCCATCTATCCATCTCTCTCTCTCTCTCTGCTCTCTCTATCTTTCCATCTCTCTATCTCTCTCTCTGCTCTCTCTATCTTTCTCTCTCTCTCTCCATCTATCCATCTCTCTCTCTCTCTCTCTCTCTCCATCTTTCCATCTCTCTATCTCTCTCTCTGCTCTCTCTATCTCTCTCTCTCTCTCTCTCCATCTATCCATCTCTCTCTCTCTCTCTCTCTCTCTCCATCTTTCCATCTCTCTATCTCTCTCTCTGCTCTCTCTATCTTTCTCTCTCTCTCTCTCTCCATCTATCCATCTCTCTGTCTCTCTCTCTCTCCATCTTTCCATCTCTCTATCTCTCTCTCTGCTCTCTCTATCTCTCTCTCTCTCTCCATCTATCCATCTCTCTATCTCTCTCTCTCTCTCCATCTTTCCATCTCTCTATCTCTCTCTCTGCTCTCTCTATCTTTCTCTCTCTCTCTCTCTCCATCTATCCATCTCTCTCTCTCTCTCTCTCCATCTTTCCATCTCTCTATCTCTCTCTCTGCTCTCTCTATCTCTCTCTCTCTCCATCTATCCATCTCTCTATCTCTCTCTCTCTCTCCATCTTTCCATCTCTCTATCTCTCTCTCTGCTCTCTCTCTCTCTCTCTCTCTCTCTCCATCTATCCATCTCTCTCTCTCTCTCTCTCTCTCCATCTTTCCATCTCTCTATCTCTCTCTCTGCTCTCTCTATCTCTCTCTCTCTCTCTCCATCTATCCATCTCTCTCTCTCTCTCTCTCTCCATCTTTCCATCTCTCTATCTCTCTCTCTGCTCTCTCTATCTTTCTCTCTCTCTCTCTCTCCATCTATCCATCTCTCTGTCTCTCTCTCTCTCCATCTATCCATCTCTCTATCTCTCTCTCTGCTCTCTCTCTCTCTGTCTCTCTCTCTCTCCATCTATCCATCTCTATCTCTCTCTCTCTCTCCATCTTTCCATCTCTCTATCTCTCTCTCTCTGCTCTCTCTATCTCTCTCTCTCTCTCTCCATCTATCCATCTCTCTCTCTCTCTCTCTCTCTCTCCATCTTTCCATCTCTCTATCTCTCTCTCTGCTCTCTCTATCTTTCTCTCTCTCTCTCTCTCCATCTATCCATCTCTCTGTCTCTCTCTCTCTCCATCTATCCATCTCTCTATCTCTCTCTCTGCTCTCTCTCTCTCTGTCTCTCTCTCTCCATCTATCCATCTCTCTATCTCTCTCTCTGCTCTCTCTATCTTTCTCTCTCTCTCTCTCCATCTATCCATCTCTCTGTCTCTCTCTCTCTCCATCTTTCCATCTCTCTATCTCTCTCTCTCCATCTATCCATCTCTATCTCTCTCTCTCCATCTATCCATCTCTATCTCTCTCTCTCTCCATCTATCCATCTCTATCTCTCTCTCTCTCCATCTATCCATCTCTCTCTCTCTCCATCTATCCATCTCTATCTCTCTCTCTCTCTCTCTCTCCATCTATCCATCTCTATCTCTCTCTCCATCTATCCATCTCTATCTCTCTCTCTCCATCTATCCATCTCTATCTCTCTCTCTCCATCTATCCATCTCTGTCTCTCTCTCTCTCCATCTATCCATCTCTATCTCTCTCTCTCCATCTATCCATCTCTATCTCTCTCTCTCCATCTATCCATCTCTATCTCTCTCTCTCCATCTATCCATCTCTGTCTCTCTCTCTCTCCATCTATCCATCTCTATCTCTCTCTCTCCATCTATCCATCTCTATCTCTCTCTCTCTCTCTCTCTCTCCATCTATCCATCTCTATCTCTCTCTCTCTCTCTCTCCATCTATCCATCTCTATCTCTCTCTCTCTCTCTCTCTCCATCTATCCATCTCTATCTCTCTCTCTGCTCTCTCTATCTCTCTCTCTCCATCTATCCATCTCTATCTCTCTCTCACACATGCCGCATACACACACACAGGGAAGAAATAAAAACATCTAGCAACATAGCAACAACAACAAATAGCATTAATTGCAAAATCATTAACAAATAAGATAAATCAGTAACAACAACAACAAACCATATTGAGATTCAGTAACAACAACAGCAACTGACCAAATATAATAACAGCAGTTGCCAGTCCTCAGTTTTCACTAGAATAAAAATAAACAAGTTGTATGTTTTCATTGACTGTACATTTTCATTGACAGTACATTATCATTGACTGTTAGTTTTCATTGACTATACGTTTTCATTGACTGTAAGTTTTCATTGCCTGTACGTTATCATTGCCTGTTCATTTTCATTGACTGTACGTGTTCATTGACTTTAAGTTTCCATTGACTGTAAGTTTTCATTGACTTTAAGTTTTGTTTTCATTGACTTTAAGTTTTCATTGACTTTAAGTTTTCATTGACTGTAAGTTTTCATTGACTGTAAGTTTTCATTGACTGTAAGTTTTCATTGACTGTACGTTTTCATTGACTGTACGTTTTCAATGCCTGTAAGTTTTCATTGCCTGTAAGTTTTCATTTACTACATTTTTATTGACTTTAAGTTTTCATTGACTGTATGTTTTCGTTGACTGTACATTTTCGTTGACTGTATGTTTTCATTGACTGTACATTTTCATTGACTGTACGTTTTCATTGACTGTACGTGTTCATTGACTGTACATTTTCATTGACTTCGTTTTCATTGCCTGTACGTTTTCATTGCCTGTATGTTTTCATTGCCTGTACGTTTTCATTGACTGTTAGTTTTCATTGACTACATTTTAATTGACTACATTTTCATTGCCTGTACGTTTTCATTGACTGTTAGTTTTCATTGACTACATTTTAATTGACTACATTTTCATTGCCTGTACGTTTTCATTGACTGTTAGTTTTCATTGACTGTACGTTTTCAATGACTGTACGTTTTCAATGACTGTATGTTTTCATTGACTGTACATTTTTTATTGACTGTAACGTTTTCATTGACTGTAAGTTTTCATTGACTGTAAGTTTTCATTGGCTGTACATTTTCATTGACCTTATATTTTCATTGACTATGCTTTTTCATTGACTGTAAGTTTTCATTGACTGTACATTTTCATTGACCTTACATTTTCATTGACTGCACATTTTTATTGACCTTACATTTTCATTGACTGTACATTTTCATTGACCTTATATTTTCATTGACTATGCTTTTTTTATTGACTGTACATTTTCATTGACCTTACATTTTCATTGACTGTACATTTTCATTGACTGTTAGTTTTCATTGACTGTACATTTTCATTGACTGTATGTTTTCATTGACTACATTTTCATTGACTGTATGTTTTCATTGACTGTTAGTTTTCATTGACTGTAAGTTTTCATTGACTGTAAGTTTTCATTGACTACATTTTCATTGACTGTACATTTTCATTGACTGTACGTTTTCATTGACTGTATGTTTTCATTGACTGTACATTTTCATTGACTGTACATTTTCATTGACTGTACATTTTCATTGACTGTACATTTTCATTGACCTTATATTTTCATTGACTATGCTTTTTCATTGACTGTAAGTTTTAATTGACTGTGGTTTCAACAGAGCATTGAAAGCTAGCCAGCAGGTGGACAAAGACTGTGTCCCAGCATTCCTAGCCTCCATCTCCAACCGGTTGTACAGAGCTGAACTCAGTGACAGGTAGGTTATTGCCCCTCTTCTGTGAGAGTGTTCCTGGTTTTGTAGACAGAAAAATTAGTCAACTAATATTGATTGGCAGTCGTAAAAAACTAGGAGAAAGAAGTCAAAAACAAAGGACAAAATAGAATCAGAGAAATAGAAATGTGAGCTTGTTTCAGTTTTCTAGGAATTGCCAAGTGTTTTGTGCAGTTTGTAGAGTGGGACAGTCATGGCCTCTGTAGCATAAGGGCTTGGTCTTCAAGGTGGAGGCTGCCTTTCTTTGTATGACCTGAGAACAGCACTGCTTCATTTGTGTTTAGAAACTGTTTGCCTGCTGACATCTGTCTAGTCACATGTATTAACATCTGATCATTTAGATATGTCATTTTTACCTACTCATACCTAATTGTACACCCGAAATATTATCTAGAATCGCACTGGCATCTAGTGCTCTAAAAAAACTGTCAAGCATCTGGAAGTCAGAGACACTCAGCAAACAGACAAAACTTAAGATCTTCAACTTTTGAGTGATTCCAGTGCTAACTTATGGATGCGAGAGTTGGAAAGCAAGGTAACTCTAGATAAAATTTATGACAATTTTGAGAACAGATGTCTTAGAAGAATAAATACATCACTGGACAGATTTTAGATCCCAAACAAGAGACCAAACCAATTTATATATCTATTTTTTATAAGAAAGGGCCGCTGGAACTACATCGACCATGCACTCAGAATGGATAAGACCAGACTCACCCATCAAGCTCTCATATGGATACCGGAAGGGAACAGAAAATGGGGACAACCAAGAGAGACCCTGCGTAAAACCATCATCAGAAAAGGCTCAACCAGGGACCTAATGAATATCTAAGAACTAAAACGAACCGCCAGACAGGGAGAGCTAGGACCTCTGCACCAGGCTCGAGGAGAGACTGACTAACTAATTAACTAGCATAGTTATAACATTTCAGGTGCCAATTTTAGAGACGTTACTAGGGGAAGGCAGTTCTATCAGCCATCCTGTTGGCTTTCTCTACATATCTTTTATCTAGAACGACTCTATTTATCCTGGTTGGCTGAGTTGTTCTTTCCTCTTCTGGACAGTTCTTCAGGATAAGCTGCATTTTTCAACTACAGCTTTCCTGGGATTGGGGCAGTCATCCCCACACCAACCTGCCTTAATTGTCTTTGTGGCATGCGTAGCAGGCTACAGTGTTACTGTCGTTTGTTGTCATTCAGGGTCACAGTAAACACAAATACCTTAGGCATTGGCTTTGTTTCCTTGTCTTTGTCACTGATAATTAGGCAACCAACTGATCATGTTGCTGTCAGATCTGGAAACTTCTTGGGTAGCTTTGCATGGCATGTTGACATCTGGTGACATACTGAGTTTACTTACACCTTACACTTGGTGAAATGTTGAGTTTAGACTTTTCACAGTGTGGTATGTTGAGTAGCCCTCACACCTTGTGGCATGCTGAGTCTAGATTTTTCACCTGTTGGCATGTTGGGTAGACTTCATATCTTTTGGCATGTTACCCTGGGTTTGTATCATTCTTTTGCCAGATTTTTTCCTAAAAGTGTTATTTTTACTTCTGATTTACTTCTCTTTGGTTTTATGTTCTTCTGCTTGCATGCTTGTTGTATGTTGGCGCGCACATGTCTATGTGTGTGTGTGTGCATGATTATGTTTTGTTTGTTTAGTTTTTAATGAGTCATCGCACAATTACACCCTTCAGTGCTGCTATCTCCTTCAGTAGACAACACATAAGCAAATGCCAGATGGAGACCAGGAAGTGTCCTGTGAAGTCAAGGCAGTGGCATTCTGCCATCTGTAAAGTTTTTATTGGTCTGACAAATGTGGAGTGAGCACCATATGCTGATGTGCCTCAGGGCTGGAAATTAGCCTTTGAGCTTTTGTTCCCTAGCTTGTGAGTTTAGGAGTTTGTCCTCATAATGGTCAGAACAAAAAAAAAAGGGGGGGAGGGGGGTGTGGATGACAGAGAGATCAGTAGAAGTAATGGGATCACAAAACAGGGAGGTTGTTTCTGAGGTGGACTGGACAGTTAGAAGAGACTATAAAGTAAAAGAGCCTTTTCCACGCCCTCAGGTGTATTGGGCATATAGGGCTAGAACTATATTTTATAGACCAATTGGCCTTTGGTGGATGATCTAGTCAACATTACGTCGGCCACCATTTTTCTTTCCAGGACTTTACCTGGTACTCCTTTAAGGCTGGGTCGACCTGAGGGCCAAGTCCTTTTCGGGGGAAAAATAAAGATGAACAGAAATATCTTCCTTTAAGATTGGGTCGACCTGAGGGCCAAGTCCTTTTCGGGGGAAAATAAAGATGAACAGAAATATCTTCCTGTGCGTCTTGCTTTCTACCTCAGACTTGGTGTCTGTGCTCACATGTCTTCTGATCTTTGTGCTGGGCTCTTTGTTTGCATGAAATCATTGTCACTGCTTATAAGGGCTATCATTATTATCATTATCATCTACAAAGTCCATAGCAGGCTGTCATGACTCATTGGGTAGACTCATAATTGTGTCCCAATTCCCCTTTCCTTGTGCCTGATTATGTCAGGGTTACTTCAGATTGACCTTGGTAATGATCAAACACCACCTTGTCTTCCAGTCACCACCCATCCGTTATACTGGTGTTGCTTTCTTTATCTCTCTGACGTATTAACACATACCCAGAGCTCTTGATGCTAGTTGTGAGCTACATGTTCTTCAGTATCAAACGTTGAAGTCGAGGATCATTGCACCGAGTAAAGAATCCCCAGGAACCCTATTTAACCATTAGGTTTTGATTAGGGCTCCAGGAACAGCTGGGGTGGGGCTTTGTCATGCATTGAAAAACTTATCAAGATGAGGCAGTTGGCTGTTAATAGTTGCTTGTAGCCAATGATGTATGAATGTACTGCTTTCTCTTTCTCTGGTCCCTGGCTGCTGTAGACTGATGAGATCAAAGACTGCGGAAGCTAGGTGGCATCAAATGAAAACCGTCATGAAATTCATAAACCCTAAGTTTGACAATTTCCAGCCAATTCATGTGGAAAGGCAAACAATTTTTTTAAAAAAGAATTTTCTCCCCTTGTTGCTAGCCGAGTTACTGCCCATTATAAACAGAGTTTATTATTTTTTGCACATAACATATGCTAATACATATGCTAATACATATGCTAATTTATGCTAACTGTCTCTGCCTGTTTTAACTGTCTCCCCTGAAGGGAGATATGTAATCTCTTGGATAAGAGAACACTCCAGAAACAGCGTGGGAGCAGGGTGTCTAACACTGTTTCATTCTTATACTAACACAAGCTAAACAGTTGTCACTGACACTACAGCCACATGACACAACATCACAGCTTTACTGCCAGATTGTATCTCTCACCTGTGTGCCAGATTGTATCTCTCTCTTGTGTGCTCTCCTTGGCTTGTGACACTGGCTTCACTCCTGCTTCCCCAAACAGCTTTTACATTGATTTATAGCTTTTAGTCAGTCAACATGGCCATAGCTTGATCTGTAGCAAACACTTTCATCAGTGGTTTTGAGGCAATAGATTCACAGTTACATCTGGTAAATAGAAAGACAAAACAACATTTTTTGAACCATGGCTGAATTATACAGAAACCAAACAATAAACGAAGAAGAGTGAAAGGTATATCTGCTTTAGAGCAACAGCCTGTGAGTCTTAGTAACCTGAAATAGAATAATGGAACAGAGTTAAACAAACCACTGTGGTAGAAAGGATGAATGTAACAGTAGAAGTTAGGCAGTTTCTACTTCAGATAGTGGTCTCGCAGCTGGAGATAAGTCTGATGATTTTAAAAATAAAAAATAATCAACTGCTCTTTATGATCCAAGAAAACTATCTGGAACAGTTGGGGATACATGCATACACTGATGGATCACCAACTGCTGCTTGGTTCAGACAGGGGATGCTCTCATTTATTTGGGATAAACCTAAGCAAATCACCTCTTGTGTTGGTCACCATGCTTCTTCCTGTGTGATGATCTCCGCACAATGACACACAATATAATTAAAGACAAGAAAAGGACCCTTGCCACATCTTCAGGCATATTGCGCATCTAGGGTTAGACCTATATTTTATAGACCAATCGGCACTCAGGGGGCAAGGCTCTGGACCTTTGGCATGGGCAGACAGGTCACTGTAGTCAGTGTCAGCTGATATCTCTGAGCTTGTGAAGTAACAGGCAGCAGACACTTGTTGGAGAACAGAGCCAGCAACACAACACAAATATCTAGATGGCTTAGCAACATGTCATAAGCAAGAGAACGTAGACTTGATCTAAGACCAGTGATCGTATGAATGGCTTTATGATTGCATGATCCCTCATAATCAGTCTGCTCATCAGTCAGAACACATGCGATTTCATTTATTCTATAGTTGAATGTTTGCGTGTGAATATGAAGTTTGTAGGTTTGGATCCCGACGGAGCCAGACCTTTTCCCAACGGTGTCTCTCAGGTTGACCCAGCCTTGAGTGCGTACCAGATGCAGTCCTCAGAAATAAAGGCGGCCGGCCGGATGCTAACCACATCACCCAACAAGTGCTGATTGGTCTTTAAAAATATAGGTCTAGCCCTATATGCCCAAAATGCTTGGAAAAGGGTCCTTTACTTATGTCTGAATTTGTTTTGTTTTATCTGTTAGAAAATAATTAACAGTTACTTGTTACTTTGCTAGAAACATTATTTCTTGTGTAAATGTGTAATTGAATGTGTGCTAGTCTGTCCACGTCATTTTAATTGTCATTAAATAATATAATGATTACCTTATGGTTACATATGATCAGTTCTCTGATTGAAATGGAATTTGAATTCAACATTTGTGTTATTTAATAACCTGTTACTCCCTGTGTGGGTTCATGGTTCCATGGGTGAAAAGAATAGACCCACTTTCTTCTTCCTGTGTCATCTCACTGTTGGTATCCTGGATGATGGATTTAATCATCTCTTTGCAGGTTTCGACTACACTATTTAATCATCCTTT